TGGACTGATACTAACTACTTTAACTGTGTATGATTTGGACTGTTTTTTGGACTTTGTTTACCCATTTACTGGAAGTAAAACCTACATTTTACTATTCAGTGTATCTATATGCTGGTTGTGTGTTATTCAATACCACTCTCACTACATTTCCCTGAGTGTACTCATTCTTCTAACAGGGAATACCATATCAACTTATCAAAACAATTTATAAAGTACAAATGGCAAAGTAAGTAATAATGAATGGAGAAACCACAGATGATTTAGAAATAAGTAAAGGAGTGAGGCAAGGATGTCCATTGTCCCCTTATTATATATAGTGTCTGAAGAAATATTGTTGTCAAGATAAGACAAAATCGAGATATCAAAGGATTAACTGTCAAAAAAGAGGAGTATAAACTCCAAGCCTTTGCCGATTACATGGTATTTATAATGGAAGACCCAAAAGAAACAAGTTCTACACTAATGAGTGAAATAGAAGAATTTGGAAAGATGGCAGGGCTTAAAATTAATAAAGAAAAATCTAAAATAATAACTAAAAACTGTACCAAAACAAAATGAAGAACTAGCAAATAAATTAGGTATGTAGATAGTAAGAAAAGTAAAATATCTCAGAATTTGGCTCACAGTGAAATGTTCGTCGATAAAAGAAGACAATTATGATAAATTAATACTTCAAATTCAAAAAGATTTAGATAACTGGGCTGAGATACAATTGTCACTGCTGGGGTGGATTACAACTGTAAAAATGAATGTGTTACCAAGTTACTATTTTTGTTCCAAACGGTGCCAGTCAAACTAGGAAGGAACTTTTTTGAGAACCTAAATAAAAAATATAGAACTTTATTTGGCAGAAGAAAAAAGCTAGAATAAAATATAAATTATTGCAAGATAGTAGAAGCAAGGGAGGATTTGATCTCCCAGACTTTGAATTATATTATCAGGCGGCAATAACTACATGGATTAAGGATTGGATTAATTTAACAGATAAAAGAATATTAACGATAGAGGATTACGACCTACAACTTGGCTGGCATGTGTTTCTTTGGGATGGGCAAAGTAAACATCATGCCTATTTCCATTGGGGGAGAGATACTCTGCTATCTATATGGGAGAAACTAAAAAAGAACCATTATGTGAAGGTGCCATTATGGTTATCAACAATGGAAGCACTAATATATCCCAATACTCTAGATTTCAACAAAATGATAGAACATAGAAATCTGTTAAATGAAAAGGGGGAATTAAAAACACGGAACCAATTAGAATCCCAGGGAATTGAAATAGGATGGTGGCCTTATTTGCAGGTTCAAACACAATACAAAAAGAACAAGGAGCAATTTGGTTTTTATATAATTCAACAAGAGTTAGATAAAATACTACAAGGGGTGGAAAAAAATGATTAGCAAGATATATAATTACCCATTGGATTATAAAAGGAAAAAGGAAACTGTTAAAGTATGATAACCTGGACCAAAAATGTGGGCCACAGCATTGATTTGGAATCGTGGGAATGTATTTGGCAGGTAAACTATAAGTTAACATTGTCAGTCTCCTACAAAGGGAACATATATAAAATGTTTTACTGCTGGCACCACCTCCCTCCAGCGAGAATAGCCAAAATGTTCCCAAATATGATAGCTAAATGTTGGAGATGTAACCATAAGCAGGGAACATATTTCCACATTTGGTGGACGTGCCCCCATGCATGGAGATATTGGCGAAAAATCAAATCATAGTAGGAAATAACAAAACAGAGAATTAAATTTAAACCAGAAATCTTCTTGTTAGGCATGTTAGAACCTAATATGAATAGAAAACACCAATATTTAATGCTCCATATCATAATGGCTGACAGAATCTCCTTCGCCCAAAATTGGAAACAGGCTATGACACCCCCCAAGAAGCTGCAATAATTAACAAGGTATACGAATGCGCAGAGATGGACAGATTGACGAAGTTATTGAAGAATAAGGAAGAAGGAAAATACTATAAAATTGGTACGAATGGACAAGAAAAAGACATAAAATGATACTGTATGTAGTATCATAATACAATAAGGTTTATGTGTAAATAAATGTAAATACAAATGTATATATGTATAAAATGCTAGAATAACAGAAGCAAATACAGAGATGGATAACACGATAATAGAAGACACTTACAAATGTAAATACTGCTATAAGTAATGTTGTAAAATGTGGAAATTTGTTTTTAATTGTCAAAACATTGAATAAATAAATGTATTTAAAACATAAAAAATAAAATACAAGGTAATTATAGTAGTTAACAAATAACAATACCCATGTTATTTGCCCCTCACAGTCTAAATTTTTCTAAATAAATATTTCAAAAGGGGAAAGTAAAAACTCTTTGCAGAAGATATAATTTCCTTTGCAAAAAATATTTAAATGTTTTAAATCCATTTTATTCACTTTTCCTGCAACAATTCTAGTATTCTGTAAAACTTTCAGTTAGTGAAAAGACCAGCTATGATTTTAATAATAAAAATACATGGTTATCTCTTATCTAATTTATAAGTATACAAATTTTTCATTTGCCATCTAGTGATAGAATTTTAATAAGATAAATATATATCGTGGCTTGACAGGTGATGGCAATAGTGAAATCAGAGTGAAGTAAAGGACAAGCTGTTCTGCGATGTGAAGATATTATTGCTGCCTTTTGATGCATAAAGATTTTCTATTAAGTGATATTTAAGGAAAGCTCATTGTTTTTGACAGTTTAGTGACATGATCTGTAAGCAGGAAAAAACAATGTCATGCTGTCAAATCAAAGATGAGAAGATTACTTTAAATATTATCTATTTTAATAGCAGAAAGTTTGCAGTAATTCAGAAAACTATATTCTGTATTTTATTATTATCTTATGTATAGGTAAGTTTTAGCAAATGGTATGTTCAAAAAAGGTTCATGTACATATTGCCAGGTATCAGTGTTTATGAAAAGATAGTTTAAAAGGATTTATTGTTTACTCCCTGAAAACAAATACTGTAGCTTCCCTTTTCTTTACAGAATATGAATTTTTATTATTGTGAATATCAGTTGCAGTGTTCTCTTCATACTGTTTAGACCCTCTGATTTACTCAAATTGTACTGAAAATGTTTAGCTGTGCTCATCTAAAACCTTATTACAGTATACAGTGTTTTCTTGTATCAAGCTCTAATATAAAGCCATAATATATTTTTAGTATCTTATTGATTAAAATGCATGGAAAGGTTTGCTATTGAATACAGGCATACAATTTTTATTTATTCAATATAAAAATTCTGAATTCCCATTTTAAAATATATGAAAAGTGTTTTGTATAACTTCAATTAAAAATGATCATCATCAATAGTAAGAACAGAATAACAAAGGTGAAAGAGACCTTGGAGGTCTATTCTAACCCCGTGCTCAAGCAGGAAATCCTATAGATTTTCCAGACAAGTGGCTGTCTAATATCTTTTTTAACATCTCTAGTGATAGAACACCTACTACTTCTGTAGGAAAGCTATTCCATTGGAAAACTATTCTCAATGTCAGAAGATTTCTCCTCAATTCTAGATTGCTTCTCTTCTTGATTAATTTCCACCTATTGTTTCTTGTCTTGCCTTCTGATGCTTTGAAAAATAGGGTGACCCTCTTCTTTGTGGCAGCCCCTCAAATATGGAAATTTTGTTGTCATGTCGACCTAGCTCTAGTCCTTCTTTTCACTAGACTTGACATACCCAATTCCTGTAACCATTCTTCATATGTTTTAGCCTCCTAATCATCTTTGTTGCTCTTTTCTGTACTGTTTCCAGAATCTTTACATCTTTTTTATAATATGGTGACCAAAACTGAGTGCAGTATCCTAAGTGTGGTCTTATTAAGTCTTAATAAAGCAATATTAATACTTCACATGGTCTTGATTCTATCTCAATGTTAATGCAACCTAGGATTGTGTTGCTTTTTTTAGTTGCTGCCACACACTGCTGGATCATATTTAAGTAATTAAGTGTTAGTCCTACAAGACCCCTCTCACAGTTACTGCTGTTGAGCCCAGTATGCCTAGACTTACTGTCTCCGAAGGAGGGTTTTTCTTCTTCTTTCCTGGTACTTTCTTAAAGAGGAAGGGTTGTTTTAAGCTTTTTACACTGCTGTTGGGTGGAAATACTTCCCTGTTGGAGTTAGCCAGAAAGAAGCTTTTAATGACAAGGAACCAAGATGAGTGACATTCAGCAAGGCTTCTTGGCTAGCTAGAAAGATTGACATTCAAACATGAGTTTACATACCCTTTTTGAGTTTTAGTCTAAAACTGGTGACCATTCGAACTTACAATGGCACTGAAAAAAGTGATTTATGACTGTTTTTCACACTTATGACTGTTGCAGCATCCTCACTGTCATGAGAAGCCAGGCGAGGAGAAGCGCCCCTTGATGTGAGTGATGCCGGGTTGGCCACACCCACCCAATCACATGACCACCAAGCCATGCCTACCACGTCCACAGAACTGGTTGTTAAAAAATTTGAATCCCAATCCTGACTCCACCCAATGGCTTAGTCACTGTGTCAGCCAGATTGTCTTCTGACGCACAGTGAAGCAAGCTAATCGATTTATCCTTGATGGCTTCTCTTACATTACAATATTTAAAGCCTACATGCTTGCTTCTATTTTTTACTCTGCCACCTGTTGCCATTTTAATGCAGGTAACATTAAGGAAAACAAAAAGCCCCCAGTAACATAGTCCTAAATAGGAAATTTTAAATTAAAGGCACAGAATGTTAGAAATGCTTCAGTAGGACTTGCCTAATCTTATTGGCCATGGTGACATACAGTTATTTTCTATCCCCAAAATCACCACAAATAAAGTCCATAAAAGCACCGAATAGAAAGAAAACATCAAAAATATTGAAATGTGTATGAATGAAATTTATATTCTCTGTTTAAAAATGCCAGATTAGAAAAAAGAGCTGTTGTACAAGTATCTTATCTTACGATTTACTGATTTTATCAAAAGGAAAGTTTTGAAAGAAATCTCTGTGGGGAACCTTAAGCCTAATGAAACAGTTGAAGCAAATTTGGAAGCACAATTGTTGTCCAGGCTAGACCATCCAGCCATTGTTAAATTCTATACAAGTTTTGTTGAAGGAGGGAGTTTTTGCATCATTACTGAATACTGTGAGGTAAGACTTTGTACTATTTTTCTTAAGAGCTGTTAAATAAATGTCCTTAAGAGGTTTTAAGGATGCTGTCCCCCCAACCCCAATATTGTTTCAGGATTCTTATTATGGTAATTTGCTAAGAGAATCTCAAGATTAATTTCCTAAGAGAATTTCATGAGACAATCCAGTGCAACTTTAGAAAATGAGCTGGCTGAGATATTGTCACTAAAAAACTAAGTGATCTTTATGGGAGCTTCTGGTTCCCTTAGGTTTGTACTTTATGTTCTTCAAGAATGTAAGTAACCAAACAGTTATACAAAGTTTATGTAAAGTAAATTGGTATTTTTCTGAACTTAGAATTGAATTTTATATGCTGACAGCCTGAATGCATGAGGTCAATGTCAATTAACTGTAAAGCAATTGTTTTAATGACTAAGCTTCCTTCCTCTTCAATTAGTTAAAGATAGTGCTGTGTTTGCTGAGAGAGTGAGGAACTACAGGAGTCAGCATGCTTTGCCAATGAAAACTGTAGTTTGCTTCTAAGCTTTAGTAATTATATATTTCTCTCCTCCAACCCCCAGAATCAGTAGGGCAGAAAATTTAAAAATTCTATTTATATGATGAGGCTGCAGTAAGTTGGCAGGTCTATGGATGTTATGATCACCTCAGAATACTTTCATCAATAGCTGATTATAGGGTCACTCTGTCTTGCCCAAATTAAAAGCAGCAGTTTTACACATTGAAAAAATGGATATTTGTTCTATGCCAAAAAGTTCCATTACTGTAATCTGTTTTTCCAAAGCCCTTCCTATTTTTATAAGAACGCACTATATGACTGATTTCATCATTGGCATTCATCGATTGTGTGTAGCCAGATGTTAACACCATGGAGTTCAAGCCTTCAGCTGGGAATTGAACTCACAGATCTTTGCACATCATGATTATATGCAGTGCATTAGCTTTAGAAGCTATCTAGGTCCTCACGCTAGGCTTCTGAATTGCACAGAGCATTCATGGAATTAAAACAGATATATAAATGTAAATTAATATTTATTAGTAAAAACAATAGAAAATGCCCTGGTTGTTTTCAATAATTTCCTTTTCACTAATTTTAATGAATTAAGATGTAATGCTTTCATCAGATGGATATTTGCTCCTGTGTTTCAGGGTCAAGATCTCGACTTTAAAATTCAAGAGTACAAAAGAAGTGGCAAAGAATTTCCTGAAAGTCAAATAGTAGAATGGTTTATACAATTATTACTTGGAGTAAACTACCTACACGAAAGGTACAGCAGTTTCATTTGTCATTCGATAAATTGAAGCTATGTTTCCATTATTAGATTGCTGATATAGAGCATAGAGATTGCTGACACAAGCTGTCTTTAAAAGCTTGTGGAAATAGGTATTTATCTCTAATATGAAATTCTGTCCAGCTATCTGAATTTGGATTATTAATATGTAGCTAAAGTGAATGCCCCTTTTAAATAATATATTTTCCAAAGTTTGCCATTTTAAATCTCACTATTGTTTCTGCAAAGATGAGATAGAAAATATATTGAAAGAAAATTTTGGCTTATTTCCTAAGAAAGCTAATGTAAACATGCAAACTATTTTCCATATGTGAAATTTTCTCTTATCTCACTATTATTATGAAAGTGAAAATATTTCATTGTCCAAACAGGAAGAAATAGATATTTCCTTCATATACAGCATTCATTTACACTGTGTAAAAATAATTGAGCTTTCTCCATGCTGACATAATATTGACTGCTAAAGGAGGCTTTCTTGAATAGAGTTATCAGTCCAGATCATAAATATACCTATAGTTAGTATGTTTGCAAAGATCAGTTGCAAATGTTGCTAACAACTGCAATACACACTCAGAATATGATTTCCTCTCATCCCAAATCAATCTGATTTAGGTATAAACCAGGTACCTGGGAACTGGTGACTAAAAAACAGTAACACATTAAAAATGTCATCTTTTAAGTGAGAGGATGATTTAAAACCACTTTGTGTGCACAGTGAGCCATCCCTTGCTCTGCCATGTTCATGCTGTGCCTTGTGGGCCACTGATGCACCCACCTATTAGCAGTTACCCCTGCCACACTCATGCCATGACTCATGGTACATTTACAAATTCTTCACCACCCAGGAACAGCCAGTCATGCTCTATGCCATGCACTATGCCTTACCTGCCTGTTCACTTGTTGCAACCTCTTGGGACTTGCTTAAAAATCCATGAGCTTTACTTAACAATGGTAACCAAATGTGCTGGGATTGACATTGCTAAGTGATGTAGCATGTAATGTCATGCTTCACAACAATATTGCTTAGCAATGAAAGTTCTGATCTGTCATTAACCAAGGACTCGTTCTTTTGTAAGATACTTTTAATCATATACTAATTTTCCCAAAACCAGCTTTCCTTGTGCAAAAGACAAACAATATCTGTAAGACACTTTTTGATTCATTTTCAATCAGAATTGCTAAAATATTTTTAAAAATCTTTATCGTTTTCTTGATGTTATCAGAAAGAAAGTTTGATGTACAGTATCTACTTTATGCCTGTCCTTTCTCCATTTATTTGGAAAAAACTTTGATATTAATATTATTCAAAATAAAAAATTGACTTAGGTGCTAAATAATGCATTCAGGATTGCAGTCACAAAAGCAATGATATTAATGCAGTTAGGGACATGTTTAAGTTTTATAACAAGACACATTTATTACAATAACAAATTATTTTTTCTTTTATCACTGGAACAATGTTTTCTTTTTTACTTTCAGGCGAATACTTCATCGAGATTTGAAAGCTAAGAATATTTTTTTGAAAAATAATCTGGTTAAAATTGGTAAGATATAAACCAGTGGTCACCAACCAGTGGGCCACAGCTCACTGGTAGTCCATGAGAAAAAAATTTTGGTCCGCAGAGAAATGTCCCCCCCAAAGCACCCCCCTCAAAGCAATTAATCCAGGCTGCACGGGAAAACAAGGCTGCGCTGTCCACATGGTCTGCCCACCCACTGACCCCCACTCTTCAGCCGAGCACAAACCTGCAAAAAGCAGTTCAGCTCTTGCCAGCCAGGACGAGAGAATGATACTGTTGCAGCAAGAGGGGGTTGGTGGCACAGATGGGCTGAAGCAGTGATGGAGATGGCCGGAAGGTGCAGGATCACCACGCTACTTGCATTTGCATGGCACTCCTGCACCTTCCAGCTCACCTATCCTGGCCTGGGCTCTTCCTCGATGGCCATGAATTGTAGGGACTTCCCAGGGCAGAAAAAGTACTGGCTGGTGGTGGTGGGAGGGGGCGGAGTGGGCATGCCTGCACTCAGCATCCAGTTCAGAGGCCCGGCATGGGAGGGATATCATTGTCGTTAGTTTTCTCATCCCTCTCGGTGCTCTGCTCTGCTAAGGGTGGGGCGCAGCACAATTGCCAGGTCCCTGGAACCCCTTTCTCTTCCTCCGACCTGGGCTCGCTGCTGGTGGGTGGGTGGGTGGGGGCCTCCTCAAGAGATGCCCTCATGTCCTGGGGAGAGCCCAGCATGTGTGTGCTCCGGGGAGAGGTTTCAAGGCCTGGAGGGAGGGAGGGACCCTTCTCTGCTTGGAAGCAGTGGGAGAAACCTGGAGCTTAGCTTCGGAGAATCCTCTTGTGTGGAGATCGAAAGGGGGGGTGTTGCCTAGTTAGTAGTCTTCCTCAGCGTTCTGTTGGTCTGGGCATCCAACCTTCGCTGCCGGCTTATTGCGGGACCAGTGGGAACTCCTGGTTGGATTGGATTGAGCTATGTGCCTTGGAAGCCCCATAGTTTGCCTCATCACTGTTTGTGCAGGTGAGAACTGAAGCTTTTCTGGGGGCCCCTTTAGCCTCCACACAAAAGGGGTCCCCGAGAGACGTTGGAGTACGTCTTCTGACCCTCTGGTGCTCTCCCGCAACTCTCCGCGTTCCTCCAGACCCAGCCTGCTGAGTGGGGGGAACAGCCCTGACGTCTCTGCTGCCCCCCCCCCCCCCCCGCGGCCCCCCCCCCCCCGCCCGGGGGGGGGCGGGGAAAGCCACCGACGCCTCTGCTGCCCCCCCCCCCCACATGGCCCCAGCCATCGCTGTCCAGGGAAGGCACAGGAAAAGAAAGCAAACAGAAAGCAAACAGAAACGGCTCTTGCTGGAGTGAAAGAGCTGAGAACGGGGAAGGAACAGGCAATAGAAGACGCAAGCTGCCACCTTTGAAAAGTGCTGCTTTCTGTTGCCTGTGTCTTCCTCAACCGCCACTCTTTCGCCCCAGTTGAGCTGCTTTTTGCATGTTGCACCATCCACAAATTTGCACATTACAGGTGCCAGCCCTTATGGTGGAGATATCCAACCCCACCACGGGCCAATCCCATATTCCAGAGCTGCAGTAGTCACAAGACTGGCCCTTTGGTCATCCCGGAGCAGTTCATCCATGGCAGGCCGATGCATAGGCCAGTCTTGTTACTACTGCAGCTCTGGAATATGGAGCGACTTTCCCACCAATGTCATCAAACCACCGTCAGTCAAAATTCATATTAGTGGTCCACGGGATTTGAAATTATGAGTTTGGTGGTCTCTGAGGTCCAAAAGGTTGGCAACCCCTGATATAAGAAACAGTTACTATTTATTGTTCCAGGAGCATGCAGAGAGGCGGAGATGGCAAGACAGATGAAATTGAAAGACACTTTAGTTACAGAGTCCCAACAAATGTTTGAATGCTAAGTCCATGCTTAGACCAAGAGATAGAAATACCTATCACTCCCTGTCCAGGTTTATATCCTCAAAGATTCCCAAGTATTTTCCTTTTGATGAAACATTAGCTTAGGGTCAGATCTTAGTGTTGAAGTATATTCAGAACAGTGAAACTGCCTCTCTTTATTTTAATCCTGAACCTTAGCAATTTATAGTTTTATTTTGTAATAAGTGTGTTTTTTAAAAAATATATCAAAATATAATACAAGTAAAAACATTGTGTCATGGCTGTTGTGTATGGGAAAAATGCTCTTTATCTATTATCTCCCAGATTGCCATTGTAATGGCTAATTTGTACAAAGCCATGTACATGTGGCATAATAAAAATATTACTGTTAGAGTTCCTTAGTTAGCTAATTCATGACATCCTTCAGTGATCAAAGTACATGGAAAGGAAATCTTTCATGAGATCACGCAAATGTTTATTTCTATCACAAAATCATTGCAGTTACTTTTCAAGAATACCACAGTATCATAGCATTTGTGGGTTTTTTAACGTATTATATAAAACTTACTATTGTTTTTGTTCTCCTTATGTTAAAGACCTGAAACTTACATGAGAGCATGTTAAATGAATTTTTCAGGAGGCAAGTAGACTTTCTTGTTTGTTTTCTTCTGAAGACATTTTGCTTCTCATCTAAGAAACTTCTTCAGCTCTGACAAGATAGTGGGGAATGGAAGGATTTATATTCCTTGCAGACAGTTGGTAAACTATAGATAAATCCCCAGGTGCTTCAACAACCCTCTAAGAATGCAAATGAGCAGCTTTCTGCAAGTGATATAAATCCTGCCAGTCCCCACTATTCTGTCAGAGCTGAAGAAGCTTCTTGGATGAAAAGTGAAACATCTTCACAGGAAAAAACAACAACAAAATCCAGTTGCCTCCTGAAAAAGCACTTTTGGGACAACCATGATCTGGATGACTGAGAATCTCTACAGACATGTTAAATAAAAAATATGTTTTTCCATCATATTTTTTTCAACAATTCCATTAATACTTGTATTGTTATTTATCACTACAAAATAATGTATAAGCTACCATTAGTAATGTATAAGCTACCATTATAATGTATAAACTACCATTATAATTGTGCTGCAATTTTAAAATACTTTAAAATAATTTGTTCTATTTATATATCGTTCTGCCTTTTTTTAAAAAAAAAGCATGATTAAGTTCTGAATGTGCTTAAAGGTACATTTGACTACAGGTAATCTTTAACTTACAACTATTCATTTAGTGATGGTTCAAAGTTATAACAGCACTTTAAAAGTGCCTTATAACCAATCCTCATTATCTCAATGGGAGCAGTCAGATTCATTTAATGACCATGATTCACTTAACAACTGCAGTGATTCGCTTAATAACCATAACAAAAAGGTTGCAAAATTGGTTATGACTCACTTAACAATCGGCTTGCTTAGCAACAGAAATTGTGATCCCAATTGTGGTTTTAAATCAAGGACTATCTGTATATACAATAGTATGACACATTTTAAAACTAGACTGCTAGCCCTTTTTAAAAAATATATGTAGTTTGTTGGGAATAAAAGCTTATTCTGTAAATGGAAGGCAGATATGGACAACTACTTTATTCAAGATATTAGCCACTGTGTGTAATCAGTTTATACATTTGTTATTAGGAGCCTCTGATAATTTTTTCAACGATGTATTTAGCTAGCTTTTGCTTCGTTTTAGTTCTTTTACTTCATTGGTTGTTTTTCTATCAGATTACTACATATTAACTCTTCCTTTAAAGGGGACTTTGGAGTTTCTCGACTCTTGATGGGATCCTGCGATTTAGCAACCACTTTCATTGGGACACCTTTCTACATGAGCCCAGAGGCATTACAACACCAGGGTTATGACACAAAATCAGACATTTGGTAAGGAGATAATGCTGTGTTCAAATTCATTTCACCACAAGCAAGCACATAACTAGTCTGTTTCTTTAAAAATTAGAGTTTTTTTTCCTACAGTACTCTATACCTCCCTAGGATATAATTATTAGCACAGGCTGCCAATCTATATGCAACTTTATTGTAAAGATGATGTTTTATATTGTTCTGAGGGATTAGTCTGACATTTCTCTTCATTTATTATACTTCTATTTTGGGGGGGAAGGTTTTATTGTATTCTATTAAAGTATATTTTTGTGGCACAATTTTTCTTCTATTTGAACATGGATTTTTATTTTGATTATATAATAAACTGATAAATAGCATAGCAATAGCACTTAGACTTATATAATGCTTCACAGTGCTTCACAGTCCTCTTTAAGCAGTTTAGAGTCAGCATATTGCTTCCGATAATCTGGGTCCTCTTTTTACCAACCTTGGAAGGATGAGTCACTTAGAATTAAACTCCTGGAGTGAGCAATGAGTTAGCCTGCAGTACTGCATTCTAACCACTGGCCACCATGGCTCTGTATGGTGTGAATGTTATGAATAAAGCAGAGTATTTTTGTGGCTGCTTCTTTTAAAACTGAAGTTTTTATATGAATTCCTAGTCTATTACATCTACCAAAAACATTGGTTTCTTGAGATAATCTTGAATACTGTATCAAGTCTAGGGATACTTCATTAAATAATGCTTATTATTTTTCATAGATAACTTTTTGTTTCTTTTTACTGATGTTAAAGCAGTAAGGATTCCTGTGCTGCACTTTTTTGCATTTGAATGAAAATAGATTTTTCCCTGCAGGCTATCAATGGAGGAATAAAATATTGGGGGGGGGGGGGGGATTAAAAATATGGGCAAGAGAGATAGAAGGCATTAAACGTTTATGTACATCTATCGCACAATGTAAGCACCAGACTTTTCCCTTTCAACCAATAAGAATGAACTTCTGAAAGCTAGGTACTTCAAAAGGAATTCTTTATTGAAAGGAAGTGATCCAGGTATTAGTCAAAGCAGAATCTAAGATGCTTCCAGGCATAAAGTAATAGATAAAGGGAGGTAGAACCGCTCCCCTTATTCTGATGTGGATTTAGTCAAACAAAGGACAACATGTTAATTCCCCCCACTCCTTTTCTGGGAACATTTCTTAGAAGAGTTTCCCATGGAGTGTCTTCCGGAGCTGGAATTTTTATGGTCTCTTCTCCTCTTGCTATCTCTCCAAGAGGTGACAAGTTTCTAGACATCTGGCTCCAGTCCTCCAGTTGTATATCATGTGCAAGTTATACAGATTCAATATAAGGTTTAAGATATTCAGGTTACGTCAAAAAGGACTACTTGTACCAACTCCCCCCTTCTTCCATTGAAGAACAGCAGATACGCGGATCTGACATATTGCCCTCCTCAAAAATTTGAGAAATCCATCTGGAAGACATAAAACATGTGTCACATTTACAACTTAAGATGGTTTGTGAGGGTATTTCAGGTGGAACTTCCGTAGTAATGTGGGTGCTTTACATGTCGTTTGGCTACCCACTCATTTTCTGAGGAAGGAAGGTGTTTCTAAGCTTCTAAATATTGTGCAGATACACAGTGAGTGCGCGAATCAAGGATATCTTTAATTTCAAAATGTTGTTCCCCATGTACCATAATGGGAGTTGGAGGTGTGAAAAGGGTGGGGGTCTAAGGTTTGAAGTGATCTCTGGTTTGAGTAGGCTATAGTGAAATACTGGATGAACCTGTCTAAGTGTTTTGGGAAGTAGAAGCTCTACTGTAACAGGATTAATAATTCTGGAGATGGAAAATGGCCCAATGAATTTAGGTCCCAGTTTCTTAGAGAGTTGCAATGATTTTAGACATTTTGTAAACAACTTTTAATGGTTTAGGATCACAACGTTTTTTGTCCACCTGAGCTTTAAAAGCTGCTCTAGCCTCTTGTAAGGCTAGTCTGACCACTGGCCAAGTGGTTTGCAAATTGTTTATCCACTCCTTAAGGGAGGGAATTTCAGGTTCTTGGTGGGTAGTTCTGGCATGGGGTTGAATTCTTGGCCTGTCGCTACCTGGAATGTGGTAAAACCAGTGCTACTGTGGACTGAGTTATTGCAAGCTACCTCTGCAAAAGGAAGAAGGTCAGTCCAATTGTTCTATTGGTAATTACTAAAGCATCTTAAATGTTGTTCTAATACACTGTTAGATTGTTCAGCTCCACCATTACTCTGGGGATGATTGGAAGACAACAATCCTGGGTGGAGCCTAATATGTTTAAAAATGCCCGCCAAAATGTGGATGTGAATTGTACACCCCTATCTGAGTTTGGGGAGCTCTATGGAGGCAATAAATGTGTATTAGAAACATCTTTGCCAATGACTTGGCTGTTGGAATCTTTTGGCATGGTACAAAATGAACCTATTTGGAAAAAAGATCAGTTACAACACAAATGACAGTATTTCCTGCACTTTCAGGGAGCTCTAGTATAAAGTCCATAGAGATCTCTCTCCAGGATGCTGAAGGTTCTACCGCTGTTTGTAAAAGTCCAGGAGATTTTCCTTATCTTCTTTGTGCAGCAGTACAGATGGGGCAAGTAGCAACATAGTTTTTAATGTCCTTTTTGAGAGATGGCTACCAAAATTGTCTTTTGATGAAGTGCAGGGTTTTTACAAAACCAAAGTGTCCTATTTTTGAGTCATGGCATTGTTTCATGAGGTCCAGTCTTCATGAGGCAGGGATGTAAAGTTTGTTTTCTACCCAGGCTAGACCATCTTTGAGTAAGCAAATGTTTTTGTTAGCCTGGAGCCAGTTGTCCTTAAGTTGTGCCTCCTTAAATATTGAAGTCATTGCATTGTCAATCAGTGATTCTTTCTTCTCTTGCTCCCAGGTGATTACTTTGGCTGCAAGTTGGGTTGGTTGGATCATGGGTTTTATTACTTCAATCGTTTTGCTGTTGTATTGAGTTTTCCTGGACAGGGCATCTGCCAAGAATTTTTTTCCCCCCTGAGACATATTTGAGAGTGAAATTAAATCGTTTAAAGTATTGAGCCCACCTTAATTTTTTTCCTGAGAGTTTCTGTGGAGTTTTCAGGGCTTCTAGATTTTTATGATCAGTCCAGACTTCAAAGAGGATTTGGTTCCCTTCTAGGAAATGTTTCCAAGTGAGGGGTGCCCATCGCACCACGTATACCTCTTTCTCCCATATGGCCCATCTCTGCTTGGTTCCTGTCAGTTTCTTAGAAGTATAGCAGATGGTTGCAGCTGTTAGAAATAAAAGTCACCTAATAGCTATTTGGGTTGGACAATATATAAACCAGGATTGACATTTTAATACTGTCTCTTTAAGAGAATCATAAAAGTGTAATTGGGTGTGGTTTCTCAAACGGCCATAAGATGGAGACAGAAACCTGGGTTGTCTTAGTCTTAGTCTCAGAAGAAGTCTCAGTGAGTCTCTGTTTTCCTTCTGTTGGAGCATATTGCCTTTCCTAATAATTGACTGCTATTCCTGGATTTGATGTAAATCTGATACTGAACTGTTTTTGACAGTCGACTTTGTTATTGGATTATTCCTGGACTGAAAACTGATTGATTTAACCGTGAATGACTTTGGACTGCTTGTTTGAACTTTGCTATTGAAAGTAAAAACCTACATTTACTATACAGTATATCTGTGTGCTGTGTGTGTATTGTTCAACAGTTCTCTCAATACGTCTCCCTGTATGCACTCATTCTCCTAACAGGGAATTACCTCAACCGCAGCTATCCATGTTCATTCTTTTGGAGTAGAACTGCTCCAACTGCTACATCGCTAGCATCTACTTGGATGTTAGGGTCGTTCAGGGTCTGGATGTTTCAGGATTGGTTTTGCTGAGAATAGTTGTTTAAGTTTTTCAAATGCCACTTGGCATTCCATCGTCCAGGTAAGGGGTTGCTTTGGCTTCAGCTTCTCTTCCCCTTTCATTTTTAGCAAGTTCATGATGGGGAGGGCAATATTTGCAAAAGCTGGAATGAACTGGCGGTAAAAGTTTGCAAAACCCAGGAAGCTTTGTAGCTGTTTGCAAGTATGGGTTGGTTCCCAATCGACAATAGCTTTTACTTTTTGTGGGTCCATCTCTATTCCCTTGTGGGATATTTTATATCCCAGGTAGTCAATTTTTTCTTGATGGAATTCACATTTAGAAAGTTTTGCGTATAGTTTGGCATTTTGGAGTTTTGTGAGTACTGCTTGGAGTAACTTGATGTGCTCTTCTTTTGTTTCGGTGTAGATTAAAATATCGAAATAAACTAGAACCCCTTTGTACAAAAAATCATGGAGAACCTCATTAATTCCATAGATACAGCAGGTTCTCCTTGTAGTCCGAAAGGGAGCACTTTAAATTGGTAGCATCCCAGTGGGGTGTTAAAAGCCATCTTCCACTCATCCCCCTCCCTTATTCTGATGCGGTAGAATACCTCTCATACGTCTAACTTTGAAAAAAAAAATCCTTTAGAGAGGTGGGCTAATATGGCCTTCATGAGGGGGAGTGGGTACATATTCTCCACACTGATGGTATTTAAATTTCTGTAATCAACATATAAGTGTAAGGAGCCACCTTTCTTTTCGTGGAATAATACTGGGGCTGCTATTTTTGGTCGGGTAGGTTTGATGAAACCCCATTTTAGATTTTTATTGATATGCTCTGAGTTCTTTTAGTTCTCTGGGGGACATGCAATACATTTTCGGTTTTGGAAGTTTAGCCCCTGGTAGGATTTCAATGGCGCAGTCTGTGGCACGATGAGGTGGGAGTTCATCAGAAGCCTCCTTGCTAAATCCATGGGCTAAATCCTGGTACTCTTTGGGGATGTTAATGGGTTCAGCCAGGTGGCTGGCCATGGCTGGTTCTCTGTTCTCTTTTTCTTTCCTCTGGGCTGTTTGCAAATGCTATATGCTTCTGGAAATGTATGGTTTCTCTCTTCCAGTTTATTTTTGGATTCCATTTCTGTAGCCATGAGAATCCTAGGA